TGTGTGTGTGTGTGTGTGTGTGTGTGTGTGTGTGTGTGTGTGTGTGAATTCAGACACCTGTATATCACTGTGGACCTCTGGAGGCCAGAGGACAGCCTGTGGGAGTTGGTTCTTGTCTTTTAACCTGTGGAGTCAAGGTCTCTCTGGTTTCCGTCACTCTTGAAAACTTCAGACTAGCTGGCCCTTGAGACTCCAGGCTCTCCTGTCTCCTCCTGCCTCCTAGTCAGGGTGCCTGGACCACAGCTGATTGCCACCATGAGATTTTTGCATGAGTTCTGGGGGAATGAACTCAGATCATCAGGCTGTACAACAAGTGCTTTTTATCTGCTGAGCCTGGCTCTAGAATAGTCCTTTAAGTCCTGTTGACTAGTGCAAAGTTACCTTTCAAATCATGACGTTTGAGTGAGGAGATGCTTACTCTGAGCACTGGCCTTTTCTTTTCAAAGAGGAAAGCCTCCTTGCAGGCTGAACTAGTTTCGTGCCTTTTATATCAAGTCCTCAAAGTTAGATAATCACAAGAGAATCTTGGGAAATATAACCCCGATAGCGTGCTTGCTTTAATGGTGGGTAGACACTCTACATACTGTTTTGGGTAGTTCTATGGCCAATTCTATAGACAGATGTGGGTTGTCTTCATTTTATAGATGAGGCTCAGAATATAGGGCTGATGAGCGGTAGATGAGAGGCGAAGGGATTTGCTCAAAATCAAAGGCCAGTAAGAGAAGGAGAGCTGGGTTTAGCTCTGAACTTTTCCTGGTCCTCTATATCTGGATCCTTCTCTGACTCCCTCTTTTTAAAAATATATGTTTTAAAAGACTTATTTTAATTTTATGTATGGATGTTTGCCTGCGTGTATGTACATCACGTGGATGCCCGGTACCTGTGGAGGCCAGAAGAGCACATCAGATTTCCTGGAATTGGAGTTAGACATGCTTGTGGGTTACCATGTCAGCTTAGGCCCTCTGGAAGAGCAGCAAGTGTTCTTAACCACTGAGCCACCTCTCCAGTTCTGGACTCCCTTTTAATTATTTTTCAAAAATTGACAATATCATATTTGTATAAAATACACTGTGACAAGCTGATTTTTTTCCTACATTTCTCCCCACTTCCTCTCTTATCAATGTCATAACAGAACTCTAGACTGGGCCAGAGAGACCTTGGAAGAGAAACTTTCCCTCATTATTTCCTTATTCTAAATATAGTCTGATTGGAAGGGCAGATTAAACATGGTCTCAAAACAGACCAAAGTTGAAAGCCAAACCTGCTGCCTCCCCGTTCTTCCCATCGACAGCGCATGACGTCACTTGTGTCCCATGCAGGCGGTCACAGCTTGTAATGACTGCATCATATCAAGACGGCAGTGGCCCTTTCGCTCTTTCCCATCCTTTGGTTCCCACAGTCCATCCACCCCCTCTTCCATGATGTTCCCTGGGCCTTGGAGGGAGTTCCATAGATGTCCCACTTGGGACAAGCATCGGCAGATGCTTTGACTGGTGATGAGCCCACACTTAGACCATCATCCACTGCTAGAAGAGATTTCTCTGACCAAGGTTGAGAATTTCATTAGTCTATGAGTATAAACATTTGTGCGGAGAAGGCAATTAATTATATGCCTATTCTGCAAAACATCAGTGGTAGATTCCCCCCACGGTGCCTGTGACATCTCTCTAGTCCTTTAATGCAAGCTAAGATAAGGACATCCTAAAGCAGAAAGGAAGGATAAGGCCAGATAAACAAGAAATGACAAGGGAGATGAGCCCTCTTGGATCCTCTCTGCCTGGCCTGGCAGTGTTCTGACCAAGGAGGACACAGGTAACTGTTGCTAACTGCCACTTCCCATCTCCGGGGCCTTGGGAAGCAGAAGTAAGACCTGGGCTTAGAGATTAGCTTTCCATAATTTGCCAGGGGAACTTGAAGTCTAGTCTGTTGAAATATTGTCATGGGAGGCTAATCTTTCCAAGAAAGTAGTCATCAGTCAGTCTTCTTTTGTTCTTAGTCACTTTATGATCCCTGCTAGAAACAGACCGCTTGATTTAGTTCACTGGATTTTTTGAGCATGCTTCCTGGTGACATGTGGCCCAGGCTTATCTGTGTGTAGTAAGTACCCTCATTGTAAGTACCCTCAGAATCCTAGGTCCACATTGTTTCTTGGAGCCAGGGTCCATTATGGGTGTTGTCCTGACCACAACAATCTGTTCTTCATTTTTGGATTATAGAAAAGTCTCTGAGTTTAGTGGGAAGGGGTCAGGGTTTCACCAGTGACCCTTGAAAAATCAGTTTATTCAAATATGCCTAAAAGAATTTCTTGCTAGATTAGGGACAGAAATATCCCTGGCCTTTAGATGGAAATGATTAGAGGCCCTTTGGAGCCAAGAGGAATCTGAAAGAATTAATTTTTTTTCTTTCTGTTGCCATAAAGTACCAGATTATGAAACTAATGTGTCCTTCTGCTATGCATTAACAAATGCTTATTTAACAAATGCTTGTTTACCTGTTATGCATTAGAGCAGTGGTTCTCTCTTTTGTTTTGTTTTGTTGTTTTTGTTTTTGTTTTTTGAGACAGGGTTTCTCTGAGTAGCTTTGTGCCTTTCTTGGAACTCACTTTGTAGATCAGATTGGCCTCAAACTCACAGAGATCCTCCTGGCTCTGCCTCCCAAATACTGGGATTAAGGGCCTGTACCACCACTGCCCCGCAGAACAGTGGTTCTCAACCTGTGGGTCACGACCCCCTTGGAGGTCAAATGACCCTTTCACAGGGGTTGCCTAAGGCCATTGGAAAACAGATTATTGACATTATGATTCATAGCAATATCAAAATTACAGTTACGAAGTAGCAATGATAATTTTATGGGTGGGGGTCACCACATGAGGAGCTGTACCGAAGGGTCTTAGTGTCAGGAAGGGTGAGAACACTGTGTTCGAGGTCCTAGACAGCCTTTTGTTGTTTTGAAGCAGGGATTCCCTCTGTAGCCCTGGGTGGCTTCAAAATCATCACACTTCTGCCTCTGCCCCTCAAGTGCTGGGATTCTAGACACTTGCGGGGAGCAGTTCACCACAGAGAGAAGTCAGCAGGAACTCAAGGCAGGAACCTGGAGGCTGGGACTGAAGCGCAGGCCCTCCAGAAGGGTTGTTTACCGGCTTGCTCCTCCTGCCTTGCTCAGCTGACTTCCTTCTACAACTCAGGACCACTCCTCTGTGGGCTGGGCCCTTCCAGTCAATCATTAGTCAAGAAAGTGCCCTTCAGGCTTGCCTACAGGTAGTCTGATGGAGGCTCATCTCAACTGAGATGCCTCTTCCCAAATAACTTTAGCTTATGTCAAGTTGACAAGAACCAACCAACACAACTGACCCAGCTTTCTTACTGTTTAGAAAAAGAAAGAACGGGTTCAAGTGGTAGGAAGTGACTTCCTGGAAATGGAGTTCTCCAGGGAAAATCTGACCTTGCTGTCTCACTGGTTAGGCCCACTAGGTGGTGGTATTAAACTATGGAAATGACCATTTGTGGCTAGTGTCTGTACAACAAAGACATTTATTTCTTCAGGAGTAAATGAAGGAAAAGATACGTCTTCTGATTTAAAAATAGGGTCTAATTTGAACCCCCGAGGGACTGGTAGCTCGGTGAGGCTGTGCCTGTTGTTATGGTTACAAATGACAACTAGCAGGCAGTGGATCAACAGCGGACAGACGAATGGACAGATCTCAGTAATTTATCATCACTGAAAGCACCATTTCAAGAATGGGCGGGATTCTGGAGTCCACAGGCCTTGGGGTTTGGAACGTTGGGAGCTAATGATGACCCCACATCATCAGCTGGACAGACTCAGGGAGATGAGAATACCCAAAGCACCCAAGGCACTAATAATAGTGTTTTGCATTTTCCATCCCCCCCCCCCCGCCCCCCGTGTGAGTGTGTGGTCTGGGGTTGTTGTTTGCCTAAAAATCAAGAAGCCCAGGGTTGAGTCCTAGCACCACAAGGAAGAAAAGAACCAAGTCCTCGTGTATGTGTGAAACTTTTGAAACCGTTTTGCTTATAACCTAGCCCAGTCTCTAATCTGAGATCTTTCTTGCCTCTGCTTCTCAAGGCTAGGATTGTGTGTAGTACTATCAGGGGCCTGTATATATCTTGACTAGGTTTTACCTGTTTAAAAATATAGGGAATAGGTTGGTGAGATGGCTCTGTGTGTAGACACTTGCCTCCAAACTTGGTAACTTGAGTTTGATCTCCAGGACCCACAAGATGGAAGCAGAGACTTTATTTTTGTGGATTATCCTCTGACCTACACACACACACACACACACACACACACACACACACACACACACACTGTGACAAGTGTGGGCCTATACAGAGACAAAAAAAGAAATACAGAGAGAGGGTGCTGGAGAGATAGCACAGAGATAAGCGCATTTGCTGCTCCTTCAGAGAACCTGTTGCCTACATGGTGCTCACAGCTCTCCGGAACTCCAATCTCAGGGATCTGACACTCTTTTCGGGACTCCAGCATTGTATGTACATACACACATACAGACAAAACACTCATACACATAAAATAAAAGACATCTGAAACAAATACAGAGTGTAGTGTGGTAGTGCACACATGCAATCCCAGCACCCAGAAGTTGGAGACAGGAGAATTGCTAGTTTGAGGTCAGACTGGGTTACAAAACCTGTCTCAAAACATTCTGATTTTTCTCAGCCGGGCAGGAGTGTCTTATGTATGTCTTTAGTCCCAGCACTTGGGAGGTAGAGGCAGGCAGATCTCTGAGTTTGAGGCTAGCCTGGTCTACAGAGTGAGCTCCAGGACATCCAGGGCTACACAGAGAAAACCCTGCCTTAAAAAAACCCCACTCAAAACAAACAACAAAAAAACAAAAAAAAAAAAAAAAAAAAAACCAAAACAAACAAAACCCCAAACAAACATTCTGACTTTTTTCTTGAGTCTGTACTGGGTATAAAGGTATTTCTGCCTTGGAGGGAATTGCTAAAAGTTATTTATTCTCTGCCTCTCATTCATTGATTTGTTGTAAGCCATTCAAGATAGAAATACTCTTTTAAAGATGTGTGTGTGTGTGTGTGTGTGTGTGTGTGTGTGTGTGTGTGTGTGTGTGAGTGAGTGTCTGCCTGGATGAATGTATGCACACGTGTGTGCACTGGTGCACATGTGGACGCTGGAAGAGGGTGTTGGACCCCTCAGAGCTGGAGTTACAGACATCGGCAAGAAACCTGGCTTGTTCTGTGGGTGCTGGGATCCGAACTCCGGGCCTCACAATCGTGCAGCCAGTGCTCTCCCCAGCACCCCTGGCACAATTAGTAGTTGAGCAGCTGCTGTGGTAAAGCAGCGGTCTAGGCTGTGAGCATCTGTGGTCTCATCAGCCTCTCCCGTCTTAGCCTGGGTCTCCCGGTTAGGGCCTCAGCCCCTGCTCAGTGCAGCCACCACAATTCTTCACCGCCTGTCCCTAGAGCCCTCCCTTGAAGGGAGGTGACTGCACTCTCCTCCATTGGGTCTGCACACCTCACAGAGTAGGCCCATAACCTGGCTCGGCCTCACCCTGTTCGCCTGCTCCCACTTTATTCCGTAGGCTCTCACCGTGGTTGTTTTTATGCTGAGTTCTTCTAATGAGCCATGTCCTGTGCTATTTCAGTCTGAAAATTTTTTGGTACTTTCCGTTCAACCTGGAACATTCTTTTTCCCCCTCTTGTTTGGCTATGCTCTGTTCATTCTTTGGGTCTCAGCTTACATGTTCCTCAGTTTGGAAATCAGCCCTTTCCCCACCTGAACATCGTCGTCGTCGCAGAGATGAGATTCCCCTTGTTTCTCCTTTCACGGTCTCTGGAGGGTGTGTGTGTGTGTGTGTGTGTGCCATGGCCTGTCTGTTGACACCCTCTGCTGCCAGACTGCGGGTTCTCAGAGGGCCTCTGCATGTCTCCACATTTGGTTGAGTGCCTGACACATTGTAAAGGCCCAGTAATATGTGCTGGAGGTGTGAGTGAATGAAATGTATGTCCTATATGTTCCATTCCTTCCTATTATTATTATTATTATTATTATTATTATTATTGGTTTTTTTTTTCCCAGACAGGGTTTCTCTGTGTAGC